TGGGCCCGATGGTAAGGAGCAGGTGAGACTGAGACTGAACTGTTAAAGCTGGTGTACGAGCATGATGCGTTCTCCTGGTAGACAAATGAATGCGGACGGAATGTTGAGAATGTTTACGTTTTGGGTTTTGCTCTTGGAGGACATAAGGATAAAGATAATGTAGCTTGATACAAATTTCTGTGAATCCGGACATTGTTGAAGACTGAAGTATGTACTCGTAAACACGAAAATGTTGCAGCCGATGCAGCTCAATATCTCTCTTGTCAGGTGACTCAGCGCGACACGCGTCCACATGTTCTCTGTGCGCGGACAATACCCACATTCATGCACATGCGTTTGCTGAATCGACCCGTCTACCACAAGAATGACGCGGAATGTCGAACAAGCACATTCACAAAACCCGACAACGGGCGCCGGCGCTATACACTAAAACCGTGTTCTGCCGGCGCTGCATTGACGTTCACATTAGCTAACGGACGTGAGACGGCCGGACAGGGGCGGGCTCTGTCCACCCTGAGTGCGCCTGTTTGCTCGGCGAGGTCTATGGATGAGTTATGGCACCGCTGATGGGCCCACGGCGCGACCGCCGCCGCCGCCGCCTGCCCTCCTCTTCAAACACGCTGCACCGCTATTGTCCAGTCAGACGCCATACAACATCGACAAGAGCCTGTTTACTTCCTGCATAATAAAATATCCACCGTCAATGTATCACCATTGATATCGCGATCCATTGGAACAATGTGGTCGTATTTGTTTTTCATTTACTCACATTAGGCGGCATTGTGCGGCGGCCGGTATGTTTTGCGATATTATTCACGCTTTGTGGTGTCCCGTCTCACTATATGTTACCAGTCCGGTCGTGTGGGGAACAATAGCCTCCATAATGAAGCCAGTGCAAATAAAATTGAGCCCATTGTAGCGGCGGAAATTCGCGAATGCCCGCGCAGAGGCGGCCTCACAAAGCTGGCATTGTGTTGCCGAGGGCTCGCCACGCCGATGCACCAGTCAACCTGCATTCAACGCGTCACCATTGTCAACAGCGTCATTTGTGGCGCGCTAATACAGTGACGGCGCGCGGCATTCACGGCGCGGCCCGCAGAGACCGGCGGCGCCCACTCGGTTTAACTACGCACACCGTGTCATTACAGCACGGTCTACACACTCATCCTGGCGCCATAATCACCCAAAACGGCGCCAACAATCAGACGACCCGGCGGACGATGCATGCAATACGACCTCCAATGTAGTCTGAGGCGATGACAAAGGGGTCACGTATGGAGCGTGTGTTGGGGTCAGTGTCCGGTGGCCGGGGGTAGAGCACTCGGCATGGGCATTATGAATACAGATAATACATTAGCTGATACAGAGACCAAGCATTCTTGACACAAGCTGCCGCACAGGGCGATGGGGTGGTATCGCTTTGGACGGCGGCAGAGTCGGTAGTGCGGGCAGTGGCGGCGGCTGTCGACAGCCAGGGTGCATGAAAAGACACCACTGCCGTCCCTTTCACGTGCCTATAGGGGCCGCGGGTGGGACAGAGGCGCCCATTGGATATGCGTGAGGCCCGGTGTATACCCCTGCCAGCACCGGCTTTGTGGCGACCTGGCAAAGGAGCCACACGGCCGCGCCGGGAACGAATGGGAAGAATAATGCCATATTGTCGGCCAATGGGAATGAATACAGAGATTGATGTAATACGTGTGAACCACTGCTGGCCAAATGTGAATGTTTTGTCATGATCCTTGACATGACTCCATTCTCTTTTGTGCGTCAATTTTTTGAAAGCTTGAGAAAGAGTCAAAGAGGGCATTTGATGGACGATAAGCATTAATCTTCGTTCACTTCTAGCACCACACAGACACTGTAGTGCGTGTAAATTTCAATATGCATACCTTCTGGCTACTTACACACACGAGCACAGCGGTGGATAGAAAAAAAACGGAAAAAAGGAAAACGAGCGAAATGAAGAATGAAGAAAAATGGCGACAGAGAGAGAGAGAGAGAGAGAGAGAGAGAGAGAGAGAGAGAGAGAGAGAGAGAGAGAGAGAGAGAGAGAGAGAGAGAGAGAGAGAGAGAGAGAGAGAGAGAGAGAGAGGGAGGGGAGGAGAGGCGAGAGAGACTCGGAGACGCACACGACTCTCGGCCAGTGCGCAGCCCCGGCCCGCCATCCCATTTGCATCTGCGAGTCGTGCGCGTCGACCTGACCCCGGCGGGGTGCCGGTGCCGACGGGAGGGCCATGTGTGTCGGTCGGGTCGTTTGTCAGCTGGTGGGAGGTCGACGCGGTGTCGTCGGCCGGTCGAAGCACGCCTCGGAGGGCGTTTTGGGTCGAAGAAGGTGCAGTTGGTCTCTCCGTTGTTAGATAGGGATGGCAGAGACTTCAATGAGGTTCTAGTTATGTAGCTTCTAAGTGTGTGAGAGTGGCTGGAACACGAGGCCAGTGTAAACTGAGAACTTGAAGTTTATTAGATTAGTCTGAAACGCCTTTCCACGTCTTCCCAGTTCCCAAGCATCACATCACTCCTTCACCATTGTCTCGACAAGTCTCCCAGCAGCCCAGTCTTCTCGTCCTGCCGACTACTGCCGAACTTCTGCAGCGCCCTGACCAGTTGTCGGCCATTTCTGCCGCTATACATTTCCCACCCACACCACCTTAGTCACAGTCTGTTCCGCTCCCTAAATCGAGCGTCTCTGACCGTCGGCCATTGACAAACTGATGTGGTAGTCCGACCGGACCGAGCTACGGGCGGAGATCGTACGAGCGTCCAGCGCTGACACTGAAATCTCAAATCGTACATGAATGTGTTCTGTGTGTGATTCACACGGCCCTGCTCTGGTGAGACGGTGGAAATCCGGGCCCGAACTGTGGCGCCGAGTGGTCGCTCCGTTTTCGGACGGGGCGTCGGTGTCGTAACAGCGACACGCCGGGCCGACAGGAGAAATGGGATCACAATCGAAACGGTGCTGGAGAAATCGTCTCTCTGCGCGATCTGTGGAGAATGTGGCAGAAGTGTGAGAGAGATGACACGCAAGTGTGCTCATCTAAATAAGGGAACGCGGTTTTGAAAGTCCTGACTATTTAGAAATGATGGAAGTGGCTCAGAGCATTACAAAAAAAATGTGCATTACTGGACTACATAAACGCATCCTGTGTTGTTTATTACGTTAACATCAGAATACGTTCGCCAACTCTATTTGGTTCTTTCGTGAATGCAAATGTAGCAAAAACATAATCGTAATCTAAAATATGGATGTCAGACCCTGTGGAACAGCAGCACACCATAAAAAGTATCTTGGGCTTTTGACAGTCCCAAATAGAGCAGGCCGTGTTTCCAGTAATACAATGGAATACTTACATACAATGGAAAGTCTCAGGCTCCTCAGTTATGTGACTTATAGTCCATGTAAACAAAGATGTGGATTGTTCGGCTGAATATTTCCTTATACCTTTCTTTTTTCGTCATTTTCGCTTCTTTGTCAAAATCACTTGCGAACTCTGCTGTCAGGATGGAACAGCAAGACGCACAGTAATTGTGCAGTCCAAATGGCCTCGGAAAATAAAGGATGATTTTTTTCCAGATCTCAGCATCTTTTATGGGTGGTAATTTCTACGTGTAGATGAACCGTGCCATCCGTACCTTTCAAGCGATGTCATGGTTCTATTTATCTGGTTTGCTTTCCCTGCTGGCTTAAATGAGTGTGCCGCATCATCATTTGCTACCTATATACCTCATCATTCACTCATTTGCCAGAATTTGTAGGCCATGTAAATTGAGGGCATGAGACATATAATTCAAAAGGTTTTGGGTAGAAACGGATGGATTAAAAAAAACATTCATGAGCCCATCATGCTTGCTTTGTTCACCTTCACCTAATTTTTGCCCGTACCCATTTTCTGATTGGTACATTTGTCTCTGGGCAATTACAAGAGCAAAAATGTTGATCTTATAATTGAAAAACCTTGAATCTAAGTAAAATCATTGACTGTCATCACTCTCCAGACTTATGGTAAATAAACATGATTGGAAATATCGACATTGTAATAACAAACGCAAGTCCATTATGATTGTACTATATATGCACCTAATGGCTAATGAATGGCTAAATATTAGGTATTTCATCACCATGTCCCATGGATTCTGGATTCAGGCTATTGGTATGAAGAGCCGTGCCATGCTCTTCCCTTCGTTGTCATGCAAGCATAAACATATGCACAATTGAAATGGTATGTTTTGCAGGCTGCAACTTCATTTATGTTGCAATTATTTTGATTTGCATTTGCATCTCATATTTCAGGGTTTCATGTCGGTAACAAATTTGTCAACATTTGCACTTATACGGTATCCACTCATGCTAGGTAAATGAGCTACAAGCATGCATTTATGGGAGGAAAAGGGTAGGCCGCGTTTGTTTTCTTCGTCAATGATCGAAGAAGTAGGCTGGTTCTCAATTGGCGTTCTTCCACTCACCTGCTTCCATAATTTATCGAGCTGACTGAGTTCATATTTACTGCTGATGGATAACACTTTACTTATATTCGGCGTGCCAGGTTGAACAAGGATGGAAGGCATTGAAAGATACAAGGCACTTATTGAACGCCAGTGTAGACCGTCTGAAATAACTCATCCGACTTCTGTATAGCCTAAATGATTTAAGTCGCCCTCTTTTCATATTCCGGCTAAGTGTGTCTCATGTTTGTAAGGGTTGTCAAAACGGTTCCATCCATTTTTTGCGACATTCATTTCATCTTCAAAGCCTCGCTAAGTTATCTAATTGAAAACACTCGACAAAAACATCGAACCTGTATGACTGCTCTTCAAAGCTGTCTGGGTGATTTTCTGACCTTCTGATTGACCGCGATTATCGCAGAAACATTTTTCAGGATTCGCACCGTCGGCGTCCCCAGTTCGGTGCGCCCGTCCTATCGAATCCATCTGACCAGGATCGGACCCTGCCACTCGCTTCTCGCCGCCCTCCGCTCACTATGACCAAACACGACCCATCACGGGGGCACATTTATTCTCACAAACAATGCTCACTATTCAGCCATGTAACGTAAACGGTATAGTTAGTGGGCTCGCGCTGCGGCGCTTCCAGCGACGTCCAGCACCCCTCTCACGGGGTTCTCTGAACACCCGGGCGAGAGAGCCAGCTTCGCCTGACATGGGCCAGCCTCGCGGACAGCTTATAGTTCATTAGTTAACACGTTCAGACACCGGCACTATTATTTACACGTCTGTACAGGTAAGTACCAGCACGGGGCCATCTCAGGTGGGCCCAGGTGACGGAACCGGTCCTCCGCCGGCCCACGGGGCTGTAATTTGGCCGATACTCCGCGGCCCGACACAATGACTAGAGCTTAAACGGGTTAGCGCCGACCGGTTAATCATAATCGCCCACTCGTTGTGGGTCTTAAATACCAATTACCCCGGCGGCACCAGACGGAGCGGAATACTGATGTCAGGTATGATGCGCCGCAGCGGACGAGCGGTATACCACAGATACTGAAGAACAAGACAACATCATCGCTCGGTACACGCTACATTGCACAATGCGCGATGCGTCGCGCGCGATCCTGCCGCTCTGCGTACCGCTCGGTACCCATAGGAGCGGTAAGCGGTCCCGGCGGGCGACATCCCGACACGATGTGCGACGGCTGCAGGACACAGCGGCGGAACAATGCGACTGAACAGCGCGACCGGACATTGCAACCGAACAGCGGGACAGGCGGCACGGGCGGGCTGCGGCGCGGCCGGGCGCCGATGGAATCACGCACCGGTCGGCCTGCAACAGTCGGCATTGTCGGGCGGCAGATAACCGCGACCCGCCACCGATGTCGGCTGTCAGCTCTGGCAGCTGCTGCGCTACAGGAGCGCACGGCAGCACCTGAGCGGAGTGATCGCGCCCACGCAGATCAACCGTCAACGACCGGCTTCTAGTGTCTCCGGGTGACGAGCCTGGCCACTTCGCCGGTCTCCCAAAGCCGTGTGTCGCGCTGCCGTCCGCACCTACCCGCCTCGCTGCTGTCTACCAGTTTGTCCCTCCGCCCATCCCGCCGTCTAGAATATCACCGAGACTGGCCTGCGGAGGTGGTCGACGTTGGCCGGGTAGCCGGGGTACAGCTGGGAGGGCAGCGCGCCGCCCGCCAGGCCACCGGCCACTGTCGTCGTCACCGGCGTCGACGGTGGAGCGGCACTCGTCGACAAAAGACCCACCGTCGACGCCGGCATGGTGGGCTTGCCGTACAGCTGACTGTAGAAGCTGGAGAAGCTCGGCGGCTGGGAGTCGGCCGCGCTCGGTTTGTAGGTCTCCGGGAAGCCGCGGGGCGCTGCCGAGTAGGTGGCCACCTCAGTCGGCGAGGCCGAGGACACCTTGGCCTGCATGGCGCTGTACGCCGACATCTGCTCCGAGGCGAGCTTGGACATCTGAGACGAGTAGGCGGCCGACATGGTCTCACCGAGCTTACCCATCTGGTTGGAGTCGAAGCCGGCCAGGCCCTGGAAGGAGTTGTAGAACGGATGTGCTGGCACCGAGGAGGGGAACAGGCCGCGCGACTTGTCGGCCATGTCGAAGGGGCTGACCCCCGGCGGAGCGGAGATGAACGTCTGGTGCAGCGGGTTAAGCGGATCGATCGGGTTGCCGTGGAAGTACGGCAGCGGGAAGCCGTAGCCGTTCTTCTGCAGAGTTTTGGGTTTGCGGCGCGGTCGGTACTTGTAGTCCGGGTGGTCGACCATGTGCTGCGCGCGCAGACGCTTCGCCTCGTCAATGAACGGCCGCTTCTCGGTTTCAGTCAGCAGCTTCCATTCAGATCCGAGACGCTTCGAGATCTCAGAGTTGTGCATCTTGGGGTTATCCTGCGCGATCTTGCGTCGCTGCATGCGCGACCAGACCATGAACGCGTTCATGGGACGCTTGATGTGCTCTTCATTCTTCTTCGACATGATCCTTTCAGCGAGTCCTCACCTGGGTCACACGGCTCCACAGGCGTCACGTCCCTGTCACGGCGGTGCTCGGCACGGCAGTCACTGGCGTCAGACACGGAGCGAACGGCCGACCGCACCCCTCACGCCGCCACAGTTCGAATGACGCTGCCGACTGGCGGTGGCGGCCGGCGGCCGGCCGGCGCGGACCGGGGGCGGGGCCTGGCGGCGTCTCCGCCAATCAGCGCGCCGCTCGGCGCCGTCAGCACGCCCCACCGAATCATTGGCTGTCATTGTTTCAAGGTGATTAACTCCGGAGCTGACCTCGGCATTGTGCTGCTGTCGGAGCGATGCCGAGCGGAGATAAGGCGAGGAAAATGGCAGCGGTGGCCGGCCGGCCAGTCGGGCTCGACACTCTGCCGCCGCCCACCGCCGGCAGACAGGTGACACACAAACAGTGACGGTAATGAGACGCGGGGCCTTTGTCACGGTCGGACCGGTGGCTGCGGCTGATTTGACGATTTTTGTGCGAGAAATCATTATGTGTGAGAGTGGCTAGCACAGTCGTCAGTGTCCCAAAATTTCATCGTATGTATAGCATGATAGTATCAGTGATGTCTGATCTACACAACGTGAAACAATATAAAACGAAGCGACGCGTCAGAAAAAGGCACAGCACGTGGTGCGGCACGTCCTGACACAGTATGGCACAATACGGAAACGGAACGACGCAATAGACACAAAAGGACAGAGCACGGCACAACAAATGTCACTCTGCACATGGTTCGCAACGGCACGGCAAGGCACATAACGACAGCGCACGGAACGGGATAGCACAGTACGGGACGGAAAGACATAGCAGATACGACACGGCTTGTAATGACACGACAAGACACGGCATATTACGACACGGCAGGCACATAACGACACGACGTAGAACGACATGACACGGCGGCCTGCCCCGACTCTGGCTCCTGCACGAGTTCTGAACGAGCGCTGAGGCGAGCACAGGTGTGCGGGCAGGCAATTTGTCGCACTGTCTTGTCGGAGACAGTCGCACAGATTGATTGTGTGACAGGGGCGGATCCAGGAATTTTCGGGAGGGGGGGCGGCAAGTCGAAATAGGGGCGACCTGGCAATCCGGGGGCGCTCCATACAAAGGGGGCGCCAAACCGTCAAAATCGGGAGCTAAAAGCCCGCGCCGTGCTAGGGGGCGTTATCGCGCTCCCCCTCAGGTTTTTCGCAAATATCTGAAAAACGGCTGCGCGCAACGCCGCCATTTTCAGCATACCTTATCATGCATCTTTTTTGCACATGTTGTAAAAATGTCTGACGCGGGTGATGGAAGGTCAGGTCACCAGGTTATGCCAAGTGACCTAGCCTAAGAAAAAGTTCAAATGCTTACCATTGCTATACCGACTGAACGATTGCTTTGAACCTTTCAGCGATTGATGAAAGCAACACTATTCATGAAATGTATATCTCGGAATTTCGATATCTGTGACCTAAGGTCAGGTCAGTTGTGCGACGTCTCCATTAGGTAGGTAGGTATAATTAAGTCTTTGGGAGAAAACTGAAAGGCATCTCTTTTGGACGAGCGCCATTCTAGACAATATCAAGCATTGGGATACATATAAAATTAACACACTGAATAAGAACATTGCACCTAGTGTGACCACTCATTATGTCCCAGAGGTCATCCCATGTCATGAAAGGTCCGCAGCAGTTTTTTTAAAATAATTTTTGATAGATTCAAGCTAGAGCGATAAAAACACCTCAGCTGTGTTCAGCTCGACGATACGCATCGACTGCTATGCAGCATGACCTTTCCCGGTCAGGTCATGACCTTGACCTGAGGTCAAATTCTCAAAATTATCCTTCATAAGGTCAACCTTTAGTTTGTTCGACGTGTCTCGACGACAGAAACGCAATGCTGGCAAACGTAATGTCGAGACTCCCTTGAGTCAAAAGTTATTGCAGGAAAACATTGTTCGTAAAAAGGCTATTTTTAGAGTCTTTTGCCCTCTGAAGGCTAAACCGTTGACCTGAGGTCAAATCTGAGCGCAGCTTGCAGAAACACCTTTAAAAGGGCTATCGAATGCGCTTTTCTGCGGCGCTATAGCTCTATTGGTTTCCGAGTTATGTGCCGCTGCTTCGAAAACGGAAAATGTTGAAACAGGCAACATTTTACCTTTGATGACCTCTGGTGACCTGACATTCGACCTGACCTAAAAAAATGATGAATAGGGCGGCCCTCTCCTGTTTGGCGACCCCAAGTTCCGCTGGAGGCGCCCCACTTCTGCCCAACTTTTGGTGGGGTGCCCCTCTCTTGCAGGGGGCACTTCTCTTTTGCTGGAGACGCCACTCTTGTGGGGGCGCCCTTCCACTGCGGGAACGTCTCTCTTCTGCCAGAGGCACCCCTTTTCTTCTTATGGGGCTCCTGTTTTTTTTTTCTGGGGCGAGGCAACCCTCTGCTGCTCGGAACGGGGCACACCTCTCCTTTTACTGGGGCACCGCCACTCTGCTGGGGTTGCCCTTCCGCTGTCGTCAGGGGCGCCCCTCTTGGTAGAATATACTCCTTTTCTTTTTGTAATGGGGCGCCCCTCTTCTACCGGGGGCGCCCATCTGCTGCTGGGGCGTCTGTCTTCTGCCGGATATTGTCAATGGGGCGCCCATATCCTGTTTGGCGGGCCCAACCTCTGCTGGAGGCTGCCTATTTCTGATTAACTTTTGCTGTGGCGCCTCTCTTCTGCTGGGGCGCCCCTCTTCTGCTTGGGGCGCCCGTCTCCTACTGGAGACCCCTCTCTTCTGCTGGGGCGCCCCTCTTCTGCCAGTGGCACCCATATTTTTATTATGGGGCTCCTTTTTTGCTGGGGCGCCCAGCTGCTGTCAGGGCGCCCCTCTTCTCGGAATGGGGGCGCCTCTCTCCTTTTGCTGGGGCGTCGCTCCTCTTCTGGGGGACACGTCTCCTGCTAAGGGTGCCCTTCCGCTGCCAGGGGCGCCCCTCTTGAACAGAAGGTATTTTATATTCTTGTAACGAGACGCCCTCTTTCTGCTGGGGGCGCCCATCTGCTCCTGGGGCGACTCTCATCTGCTGGGAATAGGCAATTGGGCGTTACTCTCCTGCTTGGTGAGCCCAACTTCTGCTGGAGGCGCCCTATTTCTGCTGAACCTTTGCTGTGTCGCCGCTCTTCTGCTCGGGGCGCCCTCTCTGCCGCGGGATGTGGGCGCCTTTTTCGGATGGCGGGGGGGGGGGGGGCGGCCGCCCCCGTCGCCCCCCCCTGGATCCGCGCCTGTTGTGTGATGAACGGTGGCACGCGAGAGCTGAGCTGGGGAGGGGCCGAGGGAGAGGACGGGGGCACTGAGAGGTGCAGGAGGTGCCAGAATCGCTCGTCAGTCAGTCGGTGCTGCACCACGCGGTACTGCTTCTCCACCGCCAACAGCAGGCCACCATCATCTACGAATTACGATTGCGTTTTACCTAGGGCTAATACTGAGGCTGTGCTGTTTGGTGATCACCAATGTATGAAGGGTACTGCAGTATGTATATAGGTAGGATGATGGAGATACCCGCTTTACGTTGCGTATCAGGTGGCTTGCAAGCGATATGGCTCATTAATATGTATTGCAACGGTCGTGGACACATGAATATTTTTAATGTTTTTGTTTTTCATTGTACCGCTGCGTTGGCTGATGTTGTTAGCTTTAGTCGATATCTTGTTTACAATTCTAAAAAGCTTGTAACCTTCGTAGATGGTCTCAGTTCCAAAAACAAGCAATAGCATTTGAATCGGCTGTCTTTTCTTGTAAACGTTTATCATTCCCATTTATCCCTTCTCTCTAGTGCAGTTTTGTGCGAAAACTGATAGCACCATTTACTCTGTGCCATCATTCATTTCATAGGGTTAGATAATAGATACCAATAAATAAAAATTCAAATAAGATAAAACGGCCCAGTAAAACACGATGAATCCTGGTTCATTGGGGCCAAGGCATTTACGCTTATTTTGCATTGGTGGAGGTGGCACGTCTTCCATCTCTTGGCAACTTAATTGCATTTATTACACGTTTTTTTAGCTTAATTTGATCACAATTGAAATCATGATCAGATAGCTGTAAGTGAAGCTACCAAAAAGAACTTCCTTACATGCGCCTGCCGCCTGCCACCTGACGCAAATTTTACCAGTAAGTCTGGTGCTATTGCGTACTTCGCCAATGCAGTCTCCGAGGAGCACTGCGGCTCAGCCTACCCACCCAAACGCCTTCAACCGAATCCGGGCGAGCCATGGGAGCCGTAGAAACCATTGGGCAGCTGCTCAGGTGAAGTGGTGATTTGCAGCTTCTCTGTGGAGTTCAATTATCCACCGTGTACAAGACCGGTAGTCAATCCTCCAATACTCACGTTTCTTTTCATGGATCCTAACGAAGGTTTCTTTCTGTAGTCGGTTGGAAACCCCAAACAGGCTGTGGTCATTGGTGATTCACAGTGAGCCAATGGCCTGACATGCCGATTTCGTGGCATGAGGAGGCCTGATCCTGTTGTGCAAGACACAATTGCGAAAATTTCCAATTGAAATACATTGTTGTACTTTGAAGGTGTTAACACAATTAGTTACTTGCCAAACCCGCATAATTCGACATGCGTCAGGGGAGGTCCGAAATTAGTCACACTTTGCTTAGTGCTTACGCATGGAACACGGTAACAAATAACCGGAAAGACAACTTGCATTTGTTAACATTTTAGCAGCTAACTCTTTTGAAGATGACTTCTTTCGTATTTTTTTTCACGCCGAAGGTTTTCAATTCCAGCCATCGGGCTAATTGTCTCGACAAGGGACGGCGACCAATCCTCTAATCTATTGGCGGTCCCCGAAGAGCCATCTAGCCCTGCTCTGTATCCGGGAACCCAATTCGATGAGTCGTTTAACTCTGTTGAACGCGACACCCCATCACTAATCTTCATTAATTCTGTAACAGCTCACTCGATGGCATACTGCAATGCAATCGATATAATTAACTTTCGAGTATTGCTGAGTTTAAGTCAAGCGGAGTTATGTGAATATGTGTAAACCAAAACACTCACCATTTGTCAATGCAGCTCAGAACTCTCCTTGACTGCACTTTGAGGGAACTACATAAACAGTTGCTTAAAAATGTTTCGAACTTTACGA